ATGTATATTACCTCGTCCCGCTGGAAGTGGTCCCACGATATCCATTCCCCATTTGATGAATGGCCATGGCTATGTGACTGAGTGGAGGTTCTCGTCCGTTTGGTGTATCATAGGAGCGTATTTCTGGCACTGCTCGCACTTCTTGACGAAGTCGGTGGCTTCCCTCTTTATGGTGGGCCAATAATAGCCTGCTCGTATGAGGCATCTAACGAGGGCTCGATTTTCGGTATGGGCACCGTAGTGGCCTTTGTGTACTTCCTCGAGGACGCGTCTTGTTTGGTTTGGTCTTAGGCGTTTTGCCAAGGGACCGCCAAACGTTCTTTTGTACAGGTCTTGGTTTATGATGCTGTATCTGGCCGCCTACATTCGAAGCTTTTTGGCTTCTTTTTGTCTGATGGGAGTACTCCCTCCTGCAAAAATGTTATAATATGATTGCGCCAGTCCCAAGTTAAATTATAGAGTGTACCTCAAGTTGGTCTATTGACGAGTGGAGAAGTATAACCACGTTTTCTTTTTCCACTTATGTTTTTGGTTGCTACTGCTAATTTGGCGAGGCCATCTGCCTCGATGTTTTGTGCTCGAGGTATTTGGTCGAGTTGACATTCGTTGAATTCCGGCAGTAGCTTATGAATTTCTGCCTGGTACTTCTGTAGCCTTTGCTCTTTGATTTGGAAAGTCCCTGTGACTTGGTTGACAACGAGTTATGAGTCGCATCAGAGGACGGGTCATCGTGCTCCGTATTTAAGAGCTATCTTTAGTCCTGCAATTACGGCCTCGTACTCGGCCTCATTATTAGTCATGTCGGGGCACCATATGGACTGGCGAATGACTTCGCCTGTTGGGACCTCAAGTACGTGTCCCAATCCAGATCTAGACGCGTTGGAAGCGCCATCGGTGTATAGGACCCATAGGTCGGGTGAACTGGGAGAGGTACGAGAAGTTTCCTGCTCGGCCTCAGGCATTATTTTGGCACTAAAATCGGCGATGAAGTCGGCAAGTACCTGCAATTTTATCGATGTCCGTGGCTGATATGTTATATCATGCTCGCTCAATTCTATGTCCTACTTGGCCGATCTCCCCGACAGCTCGGGTTTATGTAGGATGCTCCTTAAGGGGAAGGTCGTGACCACCGATATGGGGTGACATTAAAAATAGGGTCTAAGCTTTCGTGAAGCTATGACCAATGCCAAGGCCAACTTTTTGAGGTGGGGGTACCGTATTTCGGTGTCGACCAGGGTTTTGCTAATGTAATAGATTGGAGATTGCGTACCTTTGTTTTCACGGACCAGCACTGCACTTACTGCGACCTCCGATACGGCCAAGTATATCAGGAGGAACTCGCCGGGTTCTGCTTTGGCGAGTAGCGGGGGTGAAGATAAGTATGCCTTTAGTTCTCTTAAGGCCTCGATGCATTCTGAATTCCACTGGAGTCCATTGTCCTTCTTAAGCACGTTGAAGAATTTGTGGCATCTATCAGAGGATTGTGAGATGAACATCGACAGGGCAGCTATACGGCCGGTCAACTTTTGTACCCGTTTCTTGCTGGTCAATACTTCGGGGATTTCCTCGATGGCTTTGATTTGGTTGGGTTGACCTCGATGCCTCTTTGTGACACCAAAAAATCGAGGAACTTGCCCGAGGTTACGCCGAAATCACTTCAGCTTCATGCCGTATCGCCTTAGTATACCGAAGGCTTCCTTCAGATGGTCGATGTGGTCTTCCTTCCTTTTTGATTTGACCAACATATCATTTATGATGGCGTTGTAAGTTGTTTCTGGTTCATGATATGAAATGTTGTTTATAGGGTGACGCCCTCGGCCAACACGGGTAGTGTTATCTCTCCTGAGGTTTGCTCAACTGCATTGTTAAAACCTGTTAGCGTGATACAGTGTGGTACTATTTTGTCCTCGAGTCTCATTTGTGTGAGAAATCGAGGGTGAATAATACACGAGCCGCTCCCGTCGTCTACTATTATTCGTTTTACATCAGTATCTGAAATACGTAAAGTAATGACAAGAGCATCGAAGTGAGGAAAGGTCAAATCGTGGGTATCTGACTTATCGAAGATGATACTGTCTTCGAGGTCATCATACCGTTCATGGGTGATCGACTTCAGTTTATGTATGGTGGTGAACTTTACGTGATTGATTGTTGCTTCGTCGCCTCCACCGATAATCATTTGGATGGTGCGGGCAGGGGAGGGTGGCTTTGGAGGGCCTAGGTGTTATTCTCGTCTGTGATCGAAGTTGGCTTTTCCTCGGTCTCTCATCAGCTCCCTTAGGTGTCCTTGGTGAAGCATGTTCGCCACTTCTTGCCGTAGGGCTATGTAGTCTTCGGTCTTGTGACCCCACTCTTGATGAAACTCATAGAGGGCGTTTGACTTTCTTGTACTTGGGTTAGACTTCATCTTTTGTGGCCATTTCACCTTCGGTCCGAGCTTCTCCAATGCGCACACTATTTCTGAAGGGGAAACACAAAAATTGGGGAGCAGATAAGAGTGGAGGCATACCTCTTTCGTTTCGCTGAGTCCCTGTATGGGGCCTAGATGGCCTTCTGTGTGGCGAGGAGATGGTGGGATGGCCATTCTGACATATGGAAGGTGCTTGTCCCGGTTGAGGCGTGGACCTGGATGGTCTCGTTGGCCGTCATTATGGCGATCTTTCCTTGACTTTGTTTGGACTGACGTTAGCCATTGGGTTGGACCGTTGAGATCGTCCTCGTCTGCTCTCACCTCGGTGCAATAGGCGTTGTGAATTTCTTCCCAAGTGGTGGGAGGGTATTTCATGAGTCTGCTCAACAACTTTCTGGTTGCCCTCGACCCATTCCTATTCAATCCATTCTTGAAAGCTGCCACCGCCATCCCTTCTGATACGTTTGGCAAGCTCATTCTTACTCTGTTGAATCGGGCGAGGAAGTCCATGAGTCCCTCGCTAGGCGACTGTCTGACGGCGAATATATCATTCACCTGGCCTCCGCCTTTTTAGCCCCGACATGGGCGGTGACGAACTTATCGGCCATTTCATCGAACGTTGTAATCGAACGTGCTGGTAATTGTGAGTACCATGTTAAGGCTCCCCCTGTTAGGGTTTCGCCGAACTTCTTCAGCAACACCGATGGTACCTGCTCTTTTGAGAGGTCGTTGCCTTTCACTGCTGTGATGTAATGAATGATGTGATCTTCGAGTTCTGTTGTGTCGTCGTATATCTTCAAATATGGTGGCATTTTGAAGGTCTTGGTATGGCATGTGGAGCTGCCTCCTCGCGGTACGGTTGTTCGACGAACCGGCCGACGTCCCATTTTGGCAGCAGTTTCAGGGCGCCCGGTATCTTATCGACCCTTTCTTGATGCTCCATCATTTGGTCGCAGAGCGCTTTATTCTCGTTCTCCATTTCTTCCATTTTCTTTAGAATGGCCGCAAGTGCGTTGTTACCTGCCTCAGCAGCAATGTGAGTGTTACCTGTTAGGAGAGTAGGAGCAGGTGGCTCATTGGTGGTTGCTGTGGTATCCGCTTGTGTGGCGCTTCCATTTGCCCTTTGAATGGGTTTGTCAAGTATGTTGTTTAGAGTACTTGTCAACCATACTTTCAATAGCTTTTTCACTGCTGGTGGCGTTTCCTCAGTTGTCGACGTAGAGGCTCCCCTTTCGCGTGAAGTGGTTACACTTCCATGAGGGAGAGTTGAGTCATTCCGCCTGGGTGTAACACTCGGCGTCACATTCTCCTCGTCTTCTCTGTCAACCTCGTTGATGGTGTTCAGGAGGTTAGTAGTGACGCCCACTACTGCTTTCTGTCTTTCATCTCATTTTCCTGCCATTGTTAGTTCGTGCAAACGAGAAAAAGATGGTTGTTGTTGCTGTTGTTGTTGTTTTATCTAGAAGATACTAAATTTTAACTAGAACCTCCCCACAAACGGCGCCAAATTGTTTGACCAAAAAGTGTTAAGCTTTTTGTTAAACTAATTAATGAAAAAATAGAGAGTGAATCCTAGTTAAACGTAATAAATTCTAGATCTAAAACTGGGGTATATCAGTGATATGGGACCGTGTTCAAGAATAATAAATATCAAATATATGCTCAATGATTGTCAATGAATGCAGTAATAGTAGCATGCAATAAGTGTAGATAATGGCAATAAATGTAATAAAAGGAATTTATCAACCAAATGTTAGGTGACTTGGATGATTCTCTTTCCCGACAACAACGTGGGGGAATAGAAAAGGGAGATGGATAAGGAATTTTTGGATCTTGTGGATGAACAATGTATATTGAACAATGTGATCAGTAAACAAGACAAGCTTTTGTATGTTCTTTATAGTCAACCCTTTACAATGTGCTCTTATCGAAAAATTAAGGTCCCCTTTTTGTTCTTTATCTCTTCCTATTTATAGGGGATATTCCTGAGAAACCCTAAAAAAATACAACTGAAAGAATATTCGGTGGGATATTCCTTCTTTCTATTCTAACTTATCCTACCGTTATTTTCATACACCCTTTGCTCGATCTCGGCCCTAATCTTTCTTAGTGCGACTCCTCGCCTTCATGCCATGGTCGGCTTAATCCTCGACCACGTCCATTTGCAGCTATTAAGTCTAATCCAAATTTTGACCAATACAGCTACCTGCCCACTCGACTGGTATAAACCAAAGAGCCCAATGTCGTCAAATGAAGTAGAAGCGACACCAGGCAGTCATTATAAAGGAGTGCTATTTAAGAATTAGCCAGTGCATCGTGAATTTCAGTTTTTAGTTTAAATTTTCAGGACAAAAATGTCCTGAATTATTTTAAAGTTAAAATTTTTAGTTTAAAATTTTAGGTTAAAATAAATATTGATTAATCTCTAAATAGCATTCGTGAGGAGGGCTATCTCTGTACTTGCCCCTCGAGGCTCGAACAAAGGACCCAAAGCCCATTAGTGTCGTAGCACTCGGAGACAAAGCATGACATTGAATTTTGTAGTCAACAACGTAACATCACTCATTGTCGTGTTTCAAACGCCAACTTCCATAACCGTTTCTAGGACAAAAAAATAAGATCTACTTCCACCTGGCCTGTTGTTTCCCCTTCCCCCTCCTAATAGCCGGCTTTCTCGTGTTGAAACTTTTCTTTGCAAGTAAGAATCCAAAAAACCCATCACACGTCGAAATTACCAAAACAGATATTTTCAACAACCAATTTCTAAAACCTTTAATTTCTTATTAATTTGACCCCTTCTGTTTCTTTTTTTGTTTCTTGCTTTAATTAATCCTTGATATCTATTACTCGGGGTAATAAGTAATTTTCCAAATAAGGAAACGGTCTTCTTAAAGTTGTGATCATTACCGAGAAAAGTTTCTGAGGGATTGAACAACATCTGATTTTTTTCTCAGGCGCTGACAAAGGTAACTTTATTTTTGTAAGTTTGTTCTTATTGATTCCTTGCTTTGATCTTTGGAATTAGCATAGGTAGTCCGGTGCACTAAGCTCCCGCTATGCGCAGCTCCGGAAAAGGGCCGGATTACAAGGCTGTATCGTACGCAGCCTTACACTGCAAGAGGCTGTTTCCGCGGCTCGAACCCGTGTAAATTCATGAACTTTTGTGTTTATAAATCTCTGTTTTTCTATGTGATATATAAGGAGGAGGTTTGGGGTTCTTAAATGGATCCTCTAAAAGTTGAATTCAGGTTTAGAATAAAGTGGATACATATAGCCTGACTCGAGTTATTTCAAAATTATGCATAATTGATTAATTGAATGACTAAAACATACGTTTTTGATGACTTGACGGTAGCTAAATTAGAATATTTGATGCCCTCTTAAACCGTGATTAATGGATGGAAGGTTGTCTCCCACCTTGTTGTTATGATTTTCATTTGTGTTGTGTTTCTTTGTTATGAGTTTAATTATTGTTCTAATTGCTTACCACAACTTGGAAATATTCCAAAGCCCTTACCTTTGGAACATTTCCTCTCTAAACTAATTTTTTCTTTTCCTTTAATGATTAAATTAAAAAAGGGGATAAAATTTGGTGAGGATGGGAATCATGGTTGTGCTGATATTGGTATCGACGATGATGTTGATGGACAACGTGCACGCTGGAGATACAAATCGTGTTTTTGATCCTTGTTCGGACACAAATATTCAGAGATGGGATGGTTTCACATTTGGGCTAGCGTTTTCGTCTAAGGAATCGTTCTTTTCCAATGGAACACAGCTCTCTCCTTGTGACCAACGACTCTCCCTTTCTGGCAATTCTGCTCAACTGGCTGTTTTTAGGCCCAAAGTGGATGAGATTTCACTCCTCACAATCAACAGCAGCGACTTCAATCCTGTACGTCCTCCTATATACTAAATTTATCTGTTATAAACGTCTGACTAGTTGTTAGAAAGAAAGCAAATAGTATCTCAAAAGGAAGTGTCTCTCGGGGATTATGAAGAGCTCTCTTTTTTCACTTTATAAGGAATTGTACTTTAGTCATCTAGTAAACCGCTAGTAAAGAGGCCGGGCTCGCGCACATGAGAAATGGGCTTGGAGGCTAAAGTGGTGGATTTGCCCCAATTCCCCATTCTGCACGCAAGATATACGTGAAATTCTGACCACTATATCCGGACGAGCAAATATTCTGATCTCATGGCATAACATTAGTTTAATGTCTAAACTGCATAGAAACAATAGTTGGAGGTAGACAATTGATCTATTAAGAAATTTGAATTTGTACCTTTTGCTTGGTTTGTTACATGTCTAGGTTCCACATTGCAGATAAAAGAGATTAGACCATGTTTTTTAAACCTCTTCGTATTTTTCACATTACAAACAAAGAGATTAGACCTTGTTTCTCTTTCCTGTTTTGATAGTTTGCCAGTTTTGCAAACTAAAATGTTTGATCTTTTGCTTTGAGGACTAACTATTATTTGAGTGCATTTTACTTGAATGTTTAATCTCCATCTATGATGTAGATTCATCATTCATTTTGGGAAGAAACAAGGTAATTGAATAGGAATTTGTCACCTTCCACCTAACTGTCTAACAAACATGTTTGGTAGTATTTCTAGGTTCCAACAAAGATACAACAGACAAAAGTATCTCAAGATTTTGTTTTCTCCTGCTCATTACTGACCTGTTTCATCTAACTTTTGTTCATCCATTGAAAAATTGAACCAACTAGATGCTTAGATCAATCATGGCAACCATGAATTCTTTCCCTAGATTAGTTTATAATAATTCTTTTTTCCACTTGAAAGATAGTGACTAGTGTCAACTTTCACCTCAACTATACAGATTATTGAGCTACCAACAACAACAACAACAACAGACCCAGTCTAATCCCACAAGTGGGGTCTTGGAAGGGTAATGTGTACGCAGACCTTACCGCTACCTGGTAAGGTAGAGAGCCTGTTTCGGTAGACCAATCTTTGGAATTCTCTTTTGCGGGTTCTCTACTCCTTGTGAGCTTTATCTTGAGTAAGAAAATAATCGGCATTCATACTTCCCATAGAAATGTTTGTTCTCTGAATTAAATGCTAGTGTGGATAATATCTGTCTGTCAGATGTAGCATATACAAATAGGTGGGTACAGTTGAGGAAGAATGATGAACCTTTACGAAAGAATAGATAATCTTTAGAAGCCCACTCTTAAGTCTAAGCCACTCTAATAGTTCATAGTACAATACATAATAAAAATAAGGCTACTGGAGAATTGGCGACGTCCTAAGATTATGAAATGTTGTCATGAAATATAGTCAGTATAGCCAAATCTTAAGCTACAAAATTGAGTGTGATCCCATCTGTTTATCCTTAGCTGGCAGGATTACCTCATTAACCTGTGCTTGTGGACTAGACGTGCTGCTCGGTGCATTAGTCCAGGTGCAGGCAAGCTGGCCCGCACAAGCGATATTCAAACAAAATTTGCGAGCATTTTGGCTAATTAACTATCAACATGTTCTTCAATCACTGTTCAATATGCTGGTCTTTATAATGTTTTTTAGTAGTAATAGTTACTATTCAAAATGCACTATCGTCTTTAATGATTGTTCACATTTCTCAGAGCAAAGCTGGTGGTTATATGGTTGCCTTTGCTGGGCGCAAATATGATGCCAGATCACTGCCCGCTTTTGTGGCAGACAATACTCACACCATTACAAGCTTCACTCTGGTAAGTCTCTGGACATCTCAAGTTTTGTTAACAATAGTAAAGCATAACGCTTTGTTGCATCGTTGAACTTTATCTTGTGTATTTAGGTACTTGAATTTCAAAAGGGCACTCTACAAAACTTATTTTGGAAGAAATTTGGCTGTGGTTCATGTACCGGGGATTCTTTTATTTGCCTTAATAAGACAGATTGTGCAGTCCCAAATAATAAGTGCAATGGCAATGGTGGATCCGTCGACTGCAACGTGGGAATACAATTGGCATTCTCAGGCACAGATAAGAATGATAAAGTGCTAAACTCGTGGTATGAGGTTAAAAACCTCCGGCAATACTCCCTCTACGGCTTGTTTCAAGATGTCAGTGATTCTCTCACAAGTCCATTTAAGAACCTGTTTTAGGACCACATAATAAGTTCTTGTTTGTATAATGACCATCAGATTTCTGTTGTGCTTCTCCACTTAACTAGAATATTTATGTCCTATGCTCATTTATCAGCTCTACGTTCGGGAGAATAACTTGGCGATTACTACACAGACTCCAGCCTGTTTTTGCTTGTACAGATCTTTTAATGGTCCAAGAATTATCCTTAGGTGCAGAAAGGACATGTTTTCTTGTTTTGATCTATTTCTATATATCATAGTGAATGCAGAATTCTTGGCAAATGGAAGTTACTAACATGAAGAAAAATTGGTTAATTTGGTTATTACAAGCAATAAATTACAATTCACCTGCCATATAATTAAGCACATGCTTATGTGTCCTTGCATTTAACTAGGAAAGAGGACTTGACCTTTTTAGAAGGTAGTCTTCGACAACAACAACCCAGTAAAATTACACAAGTGGGGTCGGGGTAGGGTAGTGTGTACACAGACCTTATCCCTACCCCAGAGGAGTAGAGATGCTGTTTCAGATAGACTCTCGGCTCAAGAAGATGAAAAGAGACAGTGGAGGAGTATCAGCTACGGAAGCCAGAAAGATAATACCAGTAATGTAATAACCAGAAATGAAGAGAAAAGCAATAACTTAGGAGGTAGTGATCTTCATTTGCAGTAATGATCAGAAGAAGATACCACCCTCTTTTTGTGGATAACTTTACAATGGTAAAACTACTTGGGTACAGTGGAGAAGGACAACTTTGTGCTAATTAAGATGAGATTTGGTACCGATTAAAGCATGATCACTCAGCTGCTCACAAGGGCGGAGCTACAGTGTCCCGAGCGGGTTCGGCTAAAACCCGTAGCTTTGGGATATCATCACATTAAAAAGTGTTCTACCACTGTTTTTGAGAATGCCCTAAAGCACTCATGGTATCATTAGGTTTACCCAAATCAAAACTGTGGAAGTTATATATGTATACTGTCTATACCGTAAAGAATTTTCACACTAGCGGCGTAATTTATCTATTCAGTTATAGCAGAATTATTCAATTTTTTATGTTATCATACCAGACTTGTGATGAAGAGTTACCTATCATACAGGTCAATTTAACATGATAGTATAAAAAACTACACACGTCAGTGCATATATAAAACTTGTACGTATACGTTTTACCTTGAAATAGATGCACTATTATTCTAGTAGAATAAAGAGCAAAATCAGGCTTGTGCTAGTAAATATAGCAGGAAACAACTTTTATGTTAAAAATGGATTTCAAGACTGCTTCAAATAGACTTTAGAGTAAACCAGAAATTATCTGCAATAACTTCTCTTGCAAAACAGAACCAAGTTTGTCTGGAGAGTATATATTGGCAGACAAATTAAGACTTTATGATATGAAAGTTACAAATAAGGACAGGGGATCTGGTCCCCTGGCTTAATTTGGATAAGTTTGGAGGTTCAAGATAACACTAAGATTTCAACCACATCTTCATGGTCCTGCACTATATGCGAGAGCAACCTCTGTTGGAGTTATTTTATCAGTCTTTTCATATTATAAATTGCACCACCTTTCATATTATAACTGACGTCAATTGATGGCTATAGTTTTTCTAATTGTTGAGAACAATATTAAGAAGTCAGAGTGTCCATCGGAAACAGTCTCTCTACTCCACCGGAGTAGGGGTAAGGATTGCATACACACTACCCTCTCCAGATCCACTTGTGGGATCCCACTGGGTCGTCGTCGTTGTTGAGAACAATATTAAGAGAGATTTACGTAATGAATACTTATGGTAGAACTTTGGACTCAACGAGTGCGAAGTTAACCAGAATATGCACTTTACTAAGGAAATGACTTCACTGGTATACATATACAGGAAAATTCCCAAAAATCAAGAATGATGTGCGAAACTTTGGAATTTTTTTCTCGGAAAGATTAATGACCATGGCTTGTTTTCGGACGAATTTAAGTTCTACACGCTCATAATGAAAAAATTATTTATACAATCAAGTAATTTATTAAATCATTATAAGTAGATCTCTTCATAAATATCAATCTATAACTCGTAAATATGACAACTAACTTGTTATACAAATTAAAATTAGTGTATGAACTTTTTATACTATCTGTGTATATATATAACTTAAAACACTTTCTGGCAAGGGCGAAGTTGTATTGTCCTATGGGTGGTCAATTGATCATTCTTCGTAAAAAATTACACTATTTATATAGGTAAAATATTAGATTTTGGAGCTATATAACATATATTGAACACCCTTTCTCGGCGATTTTTTTTTTCACTTCTTTCAAATTTGAACACCCTTAAAAAAATTCTTGGTTTCGCCACTGCTTTCTGGATAAGATCATTAAACTTCCTGCAAAGATGGTGATGCTTGAGCTACGGAATGTCATGGTTCTCAGTGGTGGAGCTACATATTGACACCTCTTTATCGGAAAATTACACTACTTACATAGGTAAAGATTATATATATATATATACTATGCATGTATGGAATCCCCTCGACTTATTCATGTATTTATTGCCATGTGTTTTTTCTCAATAAAGAAGACAACTTGATGCAAATAATACAAAAAGGAGGAGGCATATAAGTACAAAGCGGAAAGTGAACAACGTATTGAACAGGTTACACTAGTCTTACCCTATAAATTCATCGCACTTTATGTTTACTTCTCTACAACAGCTCCTCATATTTCTATTCCTCAATTACTTCTTCATTTTCTCCTTCCTCCTTATTACTTAAGATATTACTAATACAATGGCCAAGTTTGCAACAGTCTTAATATTACTTGCAAAAGAAGTTGCTCCACCAAAATTTGTGAAAGTGGTAAAGCGTCCAATTCCTAAGGTGTTGGCTACCATTAATGAAGAAGAGGCTTATGCTTGAGGCCTAGGTTTTGCCATTAATCATCGAAAGAGAAAAGAATATAACATCTTACACCTTTTGATATGCTAATCGAGTTCTATATCAAACACCTTCCGACTATATGTATGTATATATTTTGTATGGTATGGGAGAGGTGACATCTACTTGTTAATTTTATAGTAGATGAATGATTTACCAGTACTATGATATGAACTGATCATGTGTTATACACAAGAATATTTAGGAGTAATTGTTATGCAGTCTGTAAACTCTTTCGATCGAAAAAATGCATGGAGTCTATCAACAGTTCACGTTCTTTTGAATGTGGTGCTATAATGTATGTCTCTTCTTTATTTTTCTGTTTCTTTTCTCCTTTTACTGGGATTTCTTTGATACAATATCAGATATGTTGGGATCGAAATAACATGGTGCATGCAGAAGCTAACAATGCAAAGCTTGATGGACGATAAATCAGAGTATAAAAGAAAAATATACTAAACGAGGCATAATAATTTATTATTATTTGGTCAATCAACCTATATATTATCTATCACTAATATAAAAAGAGAAAATAAAATTTGAAAGAATAATCTTCCCAAAATATGATTCTCCTAAAGGCTACATTGTAAAAGTTGTTTTTGTTGTGTGAGAAGTAAGCCTCAATAATTTATAAAAGTGCAAAACTTCTCTTCCAAGAAAAAGATAAGGCATATGAAGAAGATTTAATCATTTTAAGAGTCTTTTTCCTTTCTTTGAAAAAGAGAGTTCTAATAAATTAGAAATTCAAGTAAAACCCTAATAAGATACTCTTCTCATTTTCATAGTTATTGAAGTATCTGAGGACTAATTTTTGATACCATGGAGAAAATGTCAAAGCTACGATCCCTTATATACGAGGGGTCTAAAATAGTCCATGACATATCCAATTGAACAGTTTGTCCTTTAATCTTATCAAAACTGAGCACTTTTGGTTTCTGGTATATTTATAACACACAACCATAGTTATCTTTAATGAAATCGGCTCGTGAAAAGCACGTGTTCCGTTTAAACTGAAAGAACACCGGTGGAACAAGCTTCTTCCTATTTATTTTCCCCAATTCGGTACTTTAAAGAATGTTTAATTGTGTGATTGTCTTATCTAAAAGTATGAACGGTTAGAAAAAGTACAATTTAAGTTATATTCTTAATTTTGTCTTCAGCCCGCTCCTGAGGTGCGTTTAGAAGTGGCAAATGGGCGGGTCAGGTCGAAAATGAGTAATGCAAAAAATGGATAAAATATTCGGCCCGACACTTATTTAATACGGACAGACAATCGGTTAACCGCCAGATATTCATATTATCTATGACTTTTTGAATATGATTATTTTTTGGAAAATTCCTAGTCTCTCAAACTTGAGGAATTGCAAATGTAAAAGTTAAATCCATTGGTTATCCATTTTTTAAGTGAATAATATGGATCTCATCCATATTTGACCAGTTTTTAAATAGTTGTAAATGTGGTGAAGCGCCTATTTCCTAAAGTGTTGGCCACCATCAATGAAGAAGAGGTTTATACTGAAGACTGGTTTGGCCAAATCATTGAAAGAAAAGAGAACATAACATCTTACAGTTTTTAATATGCTAATTAATTGAGTTCCATAGCTCTTTCAACCCCTTTATTCGACAATATAGTATGGCCATGAGGTATATATGATCATATATTGTGTTGTGTTCATGCCTAACTCCAATCTTGCAAATGTTTGCTTCTTAACTCTACTCTCGTTGCCATTTTAATTTATTGCAGCGGTGAATGAGTAATATTTCTTTTTTTTCCTTTTTACATTTAGGTCGAATAAATGTGACCAGGAGGCCATGGGTTTGAGCCGTGGAAATAGCCTTAAGGCTGTATGTGGGCCCGGGCCCGGGCCTAAATGGGCTAAACGGGCCGGGCTAAACGGGCCCGGGCTTAGCGGTCCCGGGCTCTGGCGGTCCCGGGCTTCGCGGTCCCGGGCTTCGTGGGCTCAACGGGTAGGACCAGCCCGTGACGGGCCTAAGCCCATATGGTCCTGGGCTAAATGGGCCGGGCTCGTGGGCTTAGCGGGCCTAACGGGCTTTTTTTATTTCCGGGCTTTTTTTTTTAATTTTTTTTATTTAGGGCAATTTCTTGTAAACCGTATGTGTATGTATATATATAAATTGCTCTTATGCATGGCTATATAAATATATGTGGTATATATAATATAGAAATCTAATTATTAAAGTGTTTGACGAAAATAGTAAAATAACAAATCAATAGTAAAACTAAATTGGCATGCATAATAAATTAATAACAAAGTACAACATGAAGCATAAATACGTCTAATAATTTTAAAATAACACAAATTGTTGAAAAATCTTAAAGACGAATTTGCGGATAAAT